ACCGTCCCCCAATCCATCAATGACCATGCATACCTTGGAAACGACATTCCATGCCAGGACAGATTGATAATAATGGTAATGATGAAATAAACATTTCATGACACGAACAAAGCATGAGTCCATTACCGCATGAATGGATTAGTTCGCATGATGGGAGAAATGTCGCAGTGCGCGTTCCGCCACATGCGTTTCAAAGCCACTCTCGAGGACTTTGTTTTCTTACGCAACAAAAGGTTAGCATTCCCCAGAGGGCAATAACGCTGTCTGGATGACACGATTACAGAAGCAGCATATTCAGACATTTGATGCAAACTGTGGGACAGAGAGACCCCCCCCCTTGTGTTGTCATAGTTACGCTGGTATCTCATTATGAGGAATTCTTTTCAGACATCGGGGGGGGGGGTGTTTAGTAACAATAGGCTGGAGGTATGTGGGGTGCCTGGTATACTGGCCAGGTCTTTAGTCGTTGGAGGGGGAAATGGATTACTTTTCCAAGAAAAAAGACGGTCCTGTTTTTTTCATCAGTGAAAGAATCCTCATCCTACCCCACCCCAAAAAGAAATGTGATAACGTAGTACTGTTTCTTAAATGTTGGCACTTTCAAGCCCTAAAATGAAATACTTGTAATAATAACTTTTTTAAATGGCAACGTGTGTCGGAGGAAGGCAGCTTGCCCTCAGCCCACAATCAACTTCCCGCCCCATGAGCGCCTTTCTTTTTTTGCTTCGCAACGGTAGTGGGTAACCCCCTAGGGTGTGCGTAAAATCATACTGAAATCCGGGGATTTGGGACTTTTAAGGTTAGATTGATTGTCACACCCATTCCCATATTTTTTCAAGGACCTTACTTTAAAAACGACTGGCATATTTGAGTTTCAGTGTAGAAACCGTATCATATGCCACATTTCTTTGTTCAACCTTAGAGAAAGGACAAACCGTTTACACTAACAGAGGGACTGCATGAAGCACCCTCACAAACGCCATCGTTTCATTTCAATTCAATGGCCCTAGAAGTACTGAGGGTCTACTCATGCATAATCCGGGAGGACAAAGACCCGTCCTCAATGTTGGGGCATACCATGTTTACTGCATTTTTGTGTGCTTAACCTCCATAAGTATAGTCATTTGTCTTTCTTTCAAAAATACATGGGTACGTTATATATAATCATGTATTACTTATATGTGGTTATATAGGCAAACTAAAATCGTTGCATTCAGCGGTTAAATTCTAACAACGTTCAATATTATTACATTTCTATTGAGGACAATTGAGTCTTAAGAGCAGTGTCTACGAACACAATGTACTTACTTGTTTTTACATTGGGTATAGAGGAGCTCCTAATCGTTAGGAATGCTCAACCAAGAACCACGTGAATAATGCAACATCAAACGTGTCAAAGTCCTACCACTGATGAACCACCTTCATAACGAGCTCTCGCACGGCATGTCCACCTGCTTTGCATCTTTTAATTGAGCAGGTGTGATGCGAAAGCCAGGCACCATGAAAGGCAGGCTCTCTTACATCTGCACAATTCCCTCGTGGACACAATGCGGTTGGGCGTGACAGGGTGCGACTCCAGCACAAAGTGGACAGGTTAGATCTCGATCGTGGGCCAAATACCCAACTGTTCATTTGTCGTTCTGGAAGACGTGATTGTTGCCTGCCGAGCAAAGTTCAAGTGTATCTAAGGATATTGGATTCTTTGGTCGAAGTCGTTTCCCATGTTTCAGCCAATATGCGAGAAAAAAACAACGAAACTGTCACGACAGCAGCGCAGTGCTTGTAAATGCAGGTGAACATGTCGATTGTGCTCTGGGTGAAGGCACTACACAACGCATGCAGTTTCAAAGGTAGGCCTAAGGGTTGTACTTCATAAAAGCGTGATCGCTGCCCTTCGCTATTTTCGAAGAAAAATAAAACATGGTTTCGGACTGACCATAGGATGTGAAACTTCAATCTAATCGGACCTTCCGAGAGGAAGTACCGGTTTATGTGTTCAAGATTTTAGCCGTAACATATTCATTCATGTCTAGAATTCATGCCATGTCCAAATGCAACTTTAGGAATTTGGGGTAACCTTTACGGAGAGAGTTCCATACATGGACAACACCAAGTTTCCCTAGAAATGTTATAATAACCATCAGAACGTGATAACTTATCATAAAAGTCCCGAAGCATTTACTTAGAAGACACTGCGTTTGTTTGCAGGCACTCATAGGTTTGTGCACCGGGGAATCATTAGTGTTATACGTATATGGAACTCTTTCCACACTGACTGACTGATATTTAATTCCATATGTGTCATTTCTCATCATGGTAAAAATATGCTCGAAGCTAGAGGACGTTGTGACAACTCATCCAAGTGGTGTTGAAAATTCTGTAAGGTTTAAAGACTGGTTACTTGTTCATCACGTCACGGTCTGTCTCAGGAAAAAGAAAAGTCGCGCGCGAGTCGGATATTGCTCAATACAAAGAAACCGAACGCATCATTTACCGCTTGGGAATCTATTCTGTTTGAAGCACATTTCCACCAGTGAGTGGAACAATTACACTCTATTAAAAAGTCCCAACATTTGGAATATTACAGACCAATAAATGTAATATATTCTATTGAAGGCACTCGTCCTCTTGTACGCGTATTTCCATTCCGAATTCCGCCACGACATATTCTATTTTTTGGACTGTTTCACCGTGGACCATTTCACCGTGGACGATTTGACACACAGATGCGCAATTTCAGTTCAGAGTCAGAGTTGGTTCAAAGCGTGTTACGGCTGGCAAAGTATTAAAGGAGAAAATATTAACATGACACTGGATTGCGTAACACTTCCAGCTACGGCAGCGCAAGGCAGTGTCTTCGATGAATAATGGTGATGTCACGTACGCAAAGCTGCGGTCAAAATTAAGTCTACACCTTGCAGGAAGGAGTGCTTGAAGTCCTAGTTCATAGATTGTCTGTACATCAGGTTTTTTTAATGTTTTAAGTCAGAGTATAACCTTGCAAAAGGTGTGATAAGCCTACTCTTTTATCGTGTACATTCTGAGAAAAGTGTGTACCACAAAGTTGCCGCATTAAAACGACATTTCGTTTTACGTCGGGTTTCATGGTGGGTAAACTTATGGAAATTGTGTTATCAAAATATAACGATTAAAAATATTGATGTAATACCTTCACAAACATACAAAATGCATTAAAAAGTAACATCAGGCATCCTGGGGTGTATTTCAGAAATACCCCCGCTGGGGGGAGGGGTAAAAGTTGATGCCGCTCAATATTATTGTCAGATATTTTTCACAAACTGTGGCCAAAAATTACTTACATGTGTTTAACTTTTACAATAATTTTACTGATGATTTGATGAGTTAAAAACACACCAACGTTGTTTTCGAATATGCAACTACGTCCTCAAAATAAACATGAAACAATAACACTGAGTCGCTTTCGAGAAAAACAAGCCCTAATTTTATGAAGATTTGGTTAATACATGTAAAGGGCAGTCAGGAATTGTGGATTCAAAATGATGGCCCCAATCACGCGTACGTTACTCTGAAAAAAATGGACATCTTTATCTCGGAAGGCAAGAAAAAAACTGTTGGAAATTTCTGCATGTCTTTCTTTTCTATTTAAAATGATATGAGAACGCTAGTTTGTCAAAACAAAACGAGTCAACTGAAACTTGGGGACAACGCGTATCAAGTGGTCGTGAGTTTTCTCGAGAAAAGTCGAGAACGATTCGCATTACATGCATGGAACCGAAATCGTTCGTGCTTTTGCACCGGAGGAGTCGCTCGCAGTAGCGCGTCCCTATTTTCAGTAATATGTAGGCCTACATGTATATCTTCAAGACATTCCAAATGGCAAGCTTAATGTAAAAAACGTGGGTCTTTGGAATCTTTGCGTGTTGAAATCTTTGCAAAGTTTGGTCGAATTAGAAACAAATTCACTGTATACTCCGGCTTCCACCTTTTGAAAGCATCTGCATCATTTTCATTAAGAAGGAAACTTGGGATGAATTTTAAACAAAAAGGGTACCGTACAAGGCTTTTTTAAATACCACTTCCTGATTATTCGGGGTTCATTCAATTGATATAAATCCACAGTTGTTTTTCTTGCCAACATCTGAAAAAAATTAAGCGCACGAGAAAGATAAAAGTAGCTCTGCGGAGCTCTGGGAAGACTTTGTGCTTTGAATTCGCTGCCTAAAAGAGCTGGTCATAGGTACCCAGTTCTTACGATTATATACTGTCAATTGTAAAACCGTTGAAAAACAAATGGAATGAAGCACGCTTTATGTGCATTCTACCTAACGAAATTTATGGAGGTTTGACAAGATATCGTGCGGCACGAACACCATCTTGTATCGATGTTTGCCATCGAAAGTAATTTCATGCCTTGCTTGGCGCCATCCGTTTTTCGCGTTTAATAACCTTAGCAATGTTGGATGCGTTGAATTATTATTGAACAAAGCTATTGTCTGTCTCACTAAATTACACGGGTGTTCACGATTGAAACTACTGCCATTAAAGTGGTAATTATTTAAAAAAAGGAAATTACCATTCTTTGAAAGAAGATGAATATAGATTTTCCTGGGGTTTTTTTAGCGCTTATTTCATTTAAATTGCTTAATTTGAACAAAGGTTAATTTCGTCAAGGAGGGGTCTTTCGCCCTAAATGTTGATTCCAATTTCGAAATATCACTACTAGATTTCACTTCAGAGCATTGTAAATCACGAAAAAAAACACTTATTCGTCCCTATTTATCGTCATTTTTTGTCTTTCTCTGGGAATGGCATTGAAACGGAAAAGCAAATTCGTATATCAGCGCCACAGCACGGTATGGTACATTGTCTTAACAGCAGAAGATTAGCGCGTCAGGGAACAATAAGGTCATGCACTCATACAAGCCGCAGCACTCCATGCTACATTTTACTTCTGAGTAATATTTGGTGCTCTCGTTTCCGTGTGTTGATAATAAAAGTGCTGTTTTCGTTTATTTCAGGTGTGATTCTGTCAGAATTGAGCCGGAAATGTAACCTTAAACGAACTGCACGTTGGAAAAAACGAGGTAGCATTTTGTTGACGCCATGGAAATTCTTTTTTTGTCAGCCAAGGATACCTTGACCAATGGCAGCCAAACTATATGATCATGTTGACGTGACGTACAGATTATGCGTCATTTGATTGGAGGGCTAATCACGTAGGCCCACACCACGAGTCAAATATAACGCTTGGGATCTACAGCTGAGCGCTGGAACTCTGATCGCACTGCAAAATTACATGCACGTTGTCATGCAAACCAGCACCGTATGTTTTGAACGGCATCGGGAAGCACAACGTCACAACCAGTGATAGACAAAAGCCGAATAACACTTCACAAAACTAAAGCAAACTTAAAACGCCATGGAATCTGAAATCGTGCAAACTGACCTTACTGAGACAGAGGTGTTGATTACCGATTCTCCCTCGTCAACTCCCGGTGATGATGCCGTGCCACCTTCAACCTACGCCCTGGCGGTGTCCGTCGCTTCTTTGATGGCCCTGTCGACGGTCACCCCAAACGCCATGATAATCACACTAGTTATCGTCGATCGCAAACTGCGAAAACTCAGCAACTATTACATCATCAGCTTGGCGACAGCCGACTGTATTGTAGGAGCTGTCGTCATGCCCGGCATGGCGTCCTACTCCATTTTAGGATTCTGGGCCCTCGGCGACATCGTTTGCGACTTGTGGATTACCGTCGACTTCATGTGCTGCACCGCTTCCATGCTGAGCTTGTGCATGATATCGCTGGACCGTTACTGGGCTATCACTAAGCCCCTGAAACACATGGGAAGACGCAGTCGCAAAAGGGCACTGGTGTACGTCGCTTCAATCTGGCTCGTATCGGCCATCTGCTGGGTACCAGCGATCGTCGCCTTTCGCGTCGTGTCCGGAAGTTTCATAGAATATGACTGTGTCTACCTAACACACCCAATATACGTCCTTATTTCCGCTGTAGTAATATACTACACCCCCATGGGTGCGATGGTGTACCTCTATATCAATGTATACTGCTCAGTCAAGGGGCAGTTTAAATCTCTTGAAGAATTTGAGCGCCCGTTGAGCGAAAAAGGCGAGAAGACGCAAGGTGGACACGCTGACGATTGTCTGAACAATTCAAGCCTGAGTAACGCCACCGATCTATTCACTAATGTCTCGGAGCTATCACTACAAGAATTGTCCACATACACGAACAAGGGATTCAGGGCCAGTACGCAATCTTTGCATGGACTCCAACGGGAATCGGTGGTGTCTCTTGAAGGCATTGAAACCAGTGGCACCGATCTTGGCATCACGCGGTCTGATATCGACACCGGCGCGCCTTCGGACAGTAGTGGGATGCGCTCGGCACAAACGGGCGACGTAACACTGACTTCTGTGTCGGGTACTGTTCCCCAAAGCCAAGGGGAAACCACGAATGCTGAGAAGATGAGGAAGCTCCGGCTGCAGAAGGTCCAGCTGAAGCACGCTGCGATTAACCGACGAACCGCGCGGACCCTCGGCATAATCGTCGTCTTGTTCCTGGTGTGCTGGCTTCCCTTCGTCGTGATGTTCCCCATCAAAGCGTTTTGCAACAACTGCATACTGGGCAAACTGTACGACGCTTCATACTGGCTGGCCTACCTGAATTCTACCCTCAACCCCTTTCTGTACGGCTTCAGTGCGGACTTCAGGCGGGCCTTTATGAGGTTCTTCTGCAAGAGGTGCGTGGCCGTCGCGCACGACGTGTCGACAACCGAAGACGTCAAGGGGAACGTAAACCAGATCCACAAAAACTAATGGCGTTGCACTTTTTGTCCTCAAAAACTTGTTCACATGTAGCGAATCTCGAATAACCGATTGGAGCAGTTGACGTAACAACTGATAACACAGTGATACTGATGCCATCCCTCCCATTTCCGATCATCCAGTGAATTATTCCACGCACTGACATGCGTGCACTTGACAATAATTAGATGTAAATATAATTTGCACACAATTTTGTTAATACATGTACAGCAAACCTGATGACATAAAACCAATATGCATGTACTTAATATTAGTTTAGTTCAGCACATGATTCAAACTGTTTATTTGCGTATAAAGTAATCTGTACAATACTTATGCGAAATTAATAACCTTTAACCCTAACAGTCCCACATCCTCCGATTTCAATATGATTTTACATACACCCTACGGGGTTAGGGTTAATACAAAATCCAAGCACTTGCATAGTATTAAACTTTACAAAACAATGCCTTGTTGTATCCCTGGTGGAAATTTGTGGCCCTTGTGAAAATGCTCACAACCTATGTACAAGCCAAAGCTTACGTGCTTTCAGTGCCCCCTTTGAAATATTATGTGCATCCCAAGCCGGGTGCTCCCTAACAGGTTTCAATCCAGTAACGCCACCAGCCCCGCCTGTCCAATATCCATCAGACTAACTTAATTCCTTTTGGAACTCTTAAATATATTCTAAGACTCTCATAGCCTCTTCACCAGAGAGGCGTCCATCACAGTGTGGACTGAACGAAATAGTGGAGGGACTTTTCTCCTATTATGTGTACATGTACATTAAACAAGGAGAAGCAAGCAACAACCGAAGTGTAAAATGGCGGCCAGTGGCGTCGATACTGGAGGGGATTTACGACGTGCTGTCGACTCTCGTTAATACGAGGGCCTCGGGACTTACTTAAACTAACTCTTTTCTTTGGTAACGTGCACCATATCCATTTTGCAGACAATTAAAACTGTGCAATGACTTCAACGTATATTAAGTTGCCTCATGACTGTGTTTAATTTAACCTGAATCAAACTTGTAAATGAACCGGAAATCAGACTTGTTAATGGGGCAAAAAGTTTTTGACCAGTCGGAATCGAGTTAAGGGATGTGGTTTTTTTTTTTACAAAGGGAAAACGCTCATCCCTTTGCTGCCATAAGAAAATGATATCAACCATAACCAGCCGGGCGGGAAATTGTTAGCTTCTGTCGGCAGCTGTCAAGAAGCAAAGTAATGTGTTATTTATGTCAAACAAGTTTCTTGTCGTACTTTTCACCTGCGGTTGTTCAATATACACCCCCCTCCTAGATCGGTTTTGTCGATGGCTGCTGAGGTCTAGGGCAATGAAAACAAAAAAGTGGATTCGGGTGCCCTCCATTTTCTGACGGTTATTAAAATGTATCGGATATCCGCCTGGGGCGTATTTTTTTCCCGAACGAGATCCAACAGTTTCGAAAGAGGGCGTCCTCTGTGCTTGCATTATTCATAATTCTGACCTTGTCTTTAAGAAGTGGTTATCTACATTGGAATAAGGTTTTAAATTCACCAGAGCTTGGCAGCTAATGTGTGGATTAGTCGGGAGTGTTCCCGACTTGAAATCCTCCATCTCAGGTTCGAATCCTTTCTCTTGTTTTACAACTCTTCTTTTTTACACTTGTAATTTAACAAGTGAGAAAGGAACCGTTCTCACCATAAGTTTGGTTTGAGGTGAGGTCGGGAACCATGTGTTGAATATATATGTAACAGACCTATCTCAAGACAGGAAACCAAAACCGTTTGGGGAAAAAAATGTATCCAGACTCTCGTCACAGCCTTAGGCCGTGTCCGAAACGGGCTTCTAGAGCTACGGCTAGGTCTATTGTCTACGCGTCTCCACGCATTTGCAATGGAACGAAGACCTAGACCTAGCCCTGGACAAGAGATTCGGATGCAACCTTAGACCAAACTTCTCGGTGCCATGTGGTTTATAGAAGAATTTGAAAAAGCTCGTGACACCATCCACGTCCCTTGCAAGGCGCACTGGCTCCGTGTCATTTCTCTCCTCAGTGCCCTACACAACAGACGACAATTAGATAATGCAACGAATATATATCCTCTCAAATCTGCAGGTATGCAACACCGACCCGTATCATTCAAATCATGAAAAATCAGCTCCCTCTAAAACAGTATCACTAAAGGTGAAGTTCCCGCGAAACTCGGGAGACAAATTAAGCCAACCCGCATCTATGGCAACGCCGTGTTGAGCGCTAAACAGGTTTACTCAGGAAGTCTATTGACCAGGAAAAGGGCTCGTTGACATAATGAAGGCTAAATTAGCAGGAACATGACGTGAAAAGAAATGACGTGAAAAGAAATGATGTGCGTCAACAAAGCGGCAGTGGGTCTTGTTTCCAAGAGAACGGAGTATTCATAACACGTTGTTTGGAACATCATGGCCCTATTCTCCTTTGTCCCGCCTTGTGTCTAATCTATATTTTCTCGTGAGATCTCGCAGTGTTTTGAAGTAATACAAAAGTAATTCAAACGATTGAAAACGCAAAATGGGTGGGGTGTTGATAAATTGCCACGTCAAACGACAAATCACATTATGTAACTGATCAATCAGCACACCTGCAAAAATAAGCCAGGGGAAATGGGGGAGAGGGGTAGTCGTCATCCGGGGCAGCACTGATGAGACTTTAAAAGAGTGGGGCGCTAGACTCAAAGCGATTGACCTGGAGCAAGAGGGGTAGCCTGTCTGTAAAGAATCCTCGAAGTTTCTGGCTAGGGAATAATTGAACACTAGGCCATCTGGTGCTTGATGGTACCGCTACACGGAAGCCTATTCTGTTTGATTTAAGATACAACTTCCGAACATGAATACTTCGTGAATCATCTCCAAGCGCTATACAAAACAGATAGATTATGAGAAGCCTAGAAATTTTACTAGACGAGGGAATACACTAGAAAGCTTAAATGTAATCAACGAACCACTCACTGCTGCTTCTACTCAACTTTCACAGCCCTTTTGTCAGTTCTTTCGATGTTTAGTAAAAGCTTTCTAGGTTCTAAATTGAAGGAGGGGCCACGCAATTTAAAGGTCGAAATGACGCTCTGTTGAAATGCAAAAAACCTTGAATAGGAAAATATTACTGTATGAACTTCCCCAGAATAAGCTTGAAAAGCTCAAATTTGTGATTTGGTTGAAGTGGGTTTTGTCCTTTTTGAAGTATCACAGATCGACTTATTGTACAACAGCTCTGACGTCTGAGATTCGTTAACTACATGAAGTGGTCCATTCTGCCTCAGTACGTGTGTTCACAAAATGTGATAATCTTGTTATGTGATTCAGTCAGTGAGGCTTTCATGGGAGATTTTACCTTGCCTCTCGACTAAAAACACGTAGTCCGATTTCCTGTCATAATAGGCCCTAATGAAAGACTCGGGTAGAAGCCAGTCGATAAAAATCCCGATATCTCTTGGGTTTTGCCGGTCAGCAATACTTGCTGTCAAAAACGATCTTCCTGCGCTATCATTATTTGTATTCCCCATGAGAATTTGTTCCGAAGGATAATAACAGTCCAATGGGAGACGTCCATGCAGCAGGAGAAGAAAGGCCTTTTCAGAACGCTTTCATGGCCCGAACAAAAAGTTACCGGTACGTTCTGTGAAAGAAGTGAAAAAAGAGGGAACTTTATCAGGAAACCTTGGGTTGTTGTTGCAAGGTATGCTTGGTTAATGACAGAAAAATGAAAGGGTTGCAAAATGTCTTTTGAAGAGACAGTTCCTCACCCTCTGGCTTTTATTGCTTTTTCAAAGGTTGTAATATCCTGTTTGAGCAGAGTGGCTGTTTTCTAGATAATTTCTATTTATTTTAATTAAGTAAAATCCGACGGGAAGATGTGCAGTGGACCTCCAGTGACAATCGGTCTTATTTCTGATGGTCTGTTAATGACTTCTGAGTTCTTCACGCAATCCCACGTGAGCAATTAAATCCTATAATCCCGCGTGTTGAATCCCGAGATATTATATTAGGCCTTTATCGTCAGTGGTGTTGGCGGAGGGGGTTATAATGTACAGTATGTTAATTTTCTTTCAATTTTTCTCGGGATGCTTCGTAGAATAATGTTATGCATTTTGATCGATTCATTTGCAGTTATCGGATTCGAGCTATCGGAACAGAAGATTCCAGAGAACGCAAAGTGAACAGGTGTTAGAAGAAGAAAAAGTAACAGTCATCAAAACTGATAATACGTTTGATTTCACAAGACTGTTGTCCAAAGACTGTTTTACGAGCCAGTTTCAAGACAATGGACGCAGTCGGGCAATATCAGAACATGCATCGGAGGCATCATAGGGAAGTTCGAATTACGCCTAAACAGGCGAGCAGCTAACGAGAAGTGTTGACAGGAAGCGATATGTCACACATTTTACATTTACACAAAGGATATAAACCGGTCACTCGGTCGGTGGCGTCATACCTCACGTGATCACCGTTTGTCTGAGCATGTTATCTTTGAGAAATCGCTCAGAGGTATGAAAACTCTCACTTAGTGCTCCATTGCACGGTTGCCAGCTCTCTGACAGTTTACAAATTCCATTCCAAACTCCATGTACATGTATATGTACATACATTTTAAACACATCTGTTATCGCGGATCCGTTTAAGGGCGCCTTTACATGTGCACGTATATACAATGCGTTCATTCGTTTCACTCTCACGGACACAAAAATCGACTTCATTAATACAACACGAGTTGTTGCGTTTGGTCGTCAAAAATCGCTCTGGGAACTATTTTGACGGATGCGAAACTCTTGGCGCAAGTGTTGACGCGCATACGGAAAGCCGCCTAAACAATTAAGGCCCTTACTTGCAAACTATGTCCTTTGGAGGCGTAGAGATATTCATTATCATTATAAAGAATAAAAAGGACCCAGAGCAGGCAATTACACGAACGTGTCCGTGCTCTCTTCAGGGGCAAAATGCTCGGCTCTGTTCCACACACCACGCTGACACAGTGCACACTCTGATGGGGAAGTTAAAACTGTTTGTCTTCCTTGTTCACAAAATATCGTTTTACAACGAGTGGGGGAGGGGCAAGGGCGTGCGAAGCCCTTGCGTTTCACCATATCTGACGTGTATGTGGGGGTACTAATGACCCAGTTTGGTATTTCATACAAGCAAGGTCATTCGGGAACAAAGCACGCGCGCAAGTCTGCGTAGGGCTGTGCTGATTGGGTGGATCTCGCAGACGCGTCCGAATGACCTTGGACACCCTCATTTCGGGCATGCGCTGATGGAATACCGAACTGGCACGCGCTCCATATGAACGTCTGACAGAAATTTCGTTCCACGCTTAAGTTCACCATGACGAAAAGTTAAAACTGACCCAGGCCTCATTCATTTCACCAGTGAAAACCAATTGTAACAAAATCTTCAAACTTCCAGATTTTCTAAAACAAGATATTACCCGTACCCTCCCCAATAAAAAAGTTGTTTTATTAAAATAACTTCTTTTTCCCAGAAGAATTTGACAAAGTTTTACATTTGGCCGCCGTTTTATAAAACTTCCAATGCGTTATTTTATAGAAATGCATATATTCCTCATTGTTCGCCATACAGTGTGTTTACCTGGATTTGTCGGATATTAATTTACCAAAGATGACCATTGTTAGCTATCCACATACGGGCCCTTTTCGTCACCAATATTTTGCAATAAATACCTTTTTCCCCCAAGAAGTGCCTTGTTGCCTGCAGTCATGTGCACCAATTGTCCATTTCTCCGGAACGGCCCCTTTCCCGTTTTTCCTCACAAGCGCACTTCTTATACTGTGCCCTCTACATAGTTATGTCGCCGTACCGATCCTGCACCGCCACTAAAAGATGGTGTCTAGCCCCCTCCCCCCTCGATTTTTTGGAAGGGGGTAGGCGATGAAAACCCCAGTCTAAATTCTAGCAAGGATGCCAAATGCCCTTCTCGCGGTCTCATCCCACAGTCGAA